AAAACAAAAGTTAATTAATATTTATTTACATGGTTATTTATCAAGAAAATTCATCTTCCTATTGTAAATCATTAAAAATCAATATTCATCTAATAAAAACTTGATTTTTCTTACTTAAAACAGTGTTAATTCATTTTAATAAAATATAAATTTTTAAATTCCCGCTAGAAACAGTTTTTCCATTATATCGGAAAAGCGAAGTGTAAAGGCGCTTGCACACTTCCAAAATTTTGGGCGAGCAGTGAATTTTCATGGCCTTGAAACTCACATTACTAAATATGATTGGCTCTACAAAAAGCTGCGTGAAAATGAACTTCTGTCAGAGCCAATCATATTTAGTAATGTTCATTTCAAGGCCGTGAAAATTCGCTGCTCGCCTAAAAATTTAAAAGTGTGCAAGCGCCTTAAACGTGATTTTGACTTTTTCGGTAAATTTTTTTTCTACCGACCGTCGTATAAATGTACCCTTAGGGTGGAGTCCCATGACAGCGTTTTGCGTTGCGTCGTAATGGGAGAGAAAAAGACGCAAATATACGTTTGCTGCATTCTCTCTCATTACAACGCAACGCAAAACGCTGCCATGGGACTGCGGCCTAAAGGGGCTTGTATACCTCCTCCGTTCTAATAGCGAATTCGGTTATCTGCACCGGAGCACTCTCGGAGTGCTCCAGAGCAGGAGTAGCATGTTCGGTTTGACAGATGTGCTCTAGTGCAGATCGTTTGGAGTATTCGCTTTAGTAGCACTGCTCCGGCGCAGATCGTTTCGAGTATTCGTTTTGGCAGCACTGCTCCGGCGCAGATCGTTATTTGTGTTCGAATTAAGAAGTGTGCACTCTCAAGGATCGAAAGGTGCAACAAAATTTGCTCCTACAATTTTGTTAGTGCAGTTTAAAAAAATGTCAAGAGAAGCGGCAAATTTAAAAATTTCACTTCTAACAGATTTAATTGACACCTCTAGCGATAGTAGTGAAGACGAATTATGTTTTTTATAATGAACTAGCTGTCGTACCCGTCTTCGACGGGTTGTAGTTTCTGATAATGCACTTAACAGTGTATCTACCAACCTAGAAAACCGGAAAATATCCGGGAATTTGATTTGACAGGGAAAAAATAATAATTAGTTACTATTGTCTATTTCATTAGGAAAATAATACCATTTGAAACAGTGACCGACTTTTTATTATCAAATTAGTTATTTTTAACTAATTCAAATGCAGAAAACAATATTTCTCAATTTGTAGTACTTCAATCAATATAATGTATTAAAATAAATCTAAAATTTCCTCCAGTTTTTTGAGTTATAGTACAGTCTAATTCGAACTAATTGTATAGCAAGTAGATCCAGTTTTTCTCTGTTACATTAAATTCCCTGATATTTTACGTCTTTTCTGGTTGGTAAACACCCTGTTAAATGTATTATTAAAAAAAACCCGTCCAGTAAACCAGGAAAAATTTGGACAAAGCCGGAAATTGTTTTAAACCAAAATAAACACCGTGTTTAACTTTTGTCTTTACATTGATCAAGATATCTCTAAAAGTTAAATCAGAGAGCCCACAAATACTACTGAATTAAGCTTCATAGCAATTGGTATCAATTATAATTTTTTCAATTTTTTGATATTCAAAACATTTTTATACTTACATCTTCGTTATAAGAAAGTATTTTTGAAAAATTATGCTAAAATGTGACTAAATAACATGTAATACTCAACTATAGTAAGTTTAGAAGCAATCCATGAAAAAATATAAAATTTAGAAATAATTTGTGTTAAATAAATTTATTTATTAGAGTCAAGTATTTATTTAATTAATCCAATTAAGATTTATTTGATTCAACTAAATAAAATTATTTAAACGAAATAAATTCTTATTAGATCGAAATAAAAACTTTTTAAATAAGATATTATTTTTCAAATAATTATAATTACTTGAATCATATAACTTTTTTTAGTGTAGCTATAGTAAACTAAAAGTTATTAATGTGAACGAACATTATCTATATTAATAAAATCAGATTACTATCTGTACATTGCTCCAAACTTGAAAATTTTTATATATTTTTTCGTTTTGAGACATTAGAATTCTAAAAATGTAAAAAAAATTTCTGTCTGTCTGTCTCTGTCTGTATGCAAAACTTTGTTCGCGCATCAATTGAAAACGGTTCAACCAATTAAAGTGAAATTTGGCAGTCTATTAGGTATTAAAGTAACTTACAATCATAGCCTTATCCGATTAAAAAATATTAACTTGAACAAAAGTTATGACATTTTTCCAAAAAATTCAAAAAAACAAAAAAATGCAAATTTTTTATCTTTTGTAAAATGAATGAAAAAACTATCCTTAGCTAACTTTTTCAGATAAATACAACCCATTTCTACGATAAAATTTTTAAAAAAGATGTATTTTGAAATTTTTTTTCGTTTTTTTTAGATCAACTTTTTTCTAAGAAAATAGTGATTTTTAATCTTTAAGCAAGCTTTTCAGGAAAAGTTATTAAAGTTTTTTATTTAAAGATCAGTATGTAAAGTAAAAAATTTGCTACATTAAACAAAAATAATTAGCTAAATGCCATAAAAAAGAAGGAAAAATGTTGAATTTTAAGAAATTCGGTTTTTTGAATTTTTGCTAATTTTCCATAATTTTAGATTTTTTACCGAAGGGTGGAGATAACAAATTAGGTAAAGTATTTTTTAAGAGCACAAAAATAATAAAGCTAAATGCTATAAAAAAGAAGGAAAAATGTTGAATTTTAAGAAATTCGGTTTTTTGAATTTTTGCTAATTTTCCATAATTTTAGATTTTTTACCGAAGGGTGGAGACTATTGAATAAGTAAAGTATTTTTTAAGAGCACAAAAATAATGAAGCCAAAAGCCATAAAAGAGAAGAAAAAATGTTGAATTTTAATAAATTCGGTTTTATGAATTTTTGCTAATTTTCCATAATTTTAGATTTTTTACCAAAGGGTGGAGACTATTAAATATAAGTAAAGTATTTTTGAAGAGTACAAAAATAATGAAGCTTAATGATATAAAAGAGAAGAAAAAAATGTTAAATTTTAAGAAATTCGGTTTCTCGAATTTTTGATAATTTTTGATTTTTTGCTAAAGGGTGGAGACTATTCAAATAGTATAATTATACTACCGAAATAGCTAATGGTAACTAATTATTAATTAATTAATTATTAACTAATTATTAATTATTATTAATTAACTAATTATTAATTATTAATTATTAATTAATTTATCCCGGGTATTTTTGATTTTCCGCAGATTGGTAGAAACATTGTTAAATGTATTGGTAGAAACTAAAACCCGTCGAAGACGGGTACGACATGACAGCTAGTGCTATATATTTTCAAAATTTTTAAAATTCAAAATTTATCTTTTGAAATAATTATTGTCATTAATTTTACTTAAATTTTATACAGGGTTAATTTTAGTATTTTTTATTACAATTTAGTCATCAGAATGAAATTTGAGTTTTTCATTTTTTGATCATTAATTAATAAAATATAATAGCAATTTTGAATTCTGTGCAACATACTGACAAAAGTCTCATATTAATTATATGGATATTGTTAATATTCTGACCTAATAGAATTCTTTTAAGAAAGTAAACTTATGATTTCAACAACAAATTTTTATTGTTGACCTAAGAAATACAACCGTATAAAAATTAATTACAAAAAAATTTCAATTTTTAAACTTTTTAATTTTTCAATATTTAAATCTAACACTTTTTATTTGTTATTCAAAATTTTATTATTCTGACGATTAAATCTTCATAAAAAACACTAAAATTAACCCTGTACCAAGTTTAAGTACAATTCACTAAAGTATATGAAAAAACTAAAAATTTCGAATTTTCGAATTTTTGAAAAAATGGCATAACTTTCGTCCATATTAATATTTTTTAATCTACTATCGCTAGGATTTTAAGTTAGGCTAATGCCTAAAAGACTGCCAAGTTTCACTTCAAACGATCGAACCGTTTTTCCGTGATACGCGGTCGAAAATTTGCGGACATGCATACACACATACACACATAATTTTCTTAATAGTATTTTCGCATTCCTTAGAGTGTAAAAAGAAGGAATATAATAGAAATTTTGAATTCTATGCAATGTACAGACAAAAGTCTGATTTTATTAATAAGGATTTTGTATTTAGAGAAAGACTAACATTCAATATTTTAATATTTAATAAAAACAGTAAATAATTTTCAATATTTTTAATATTTAAATAAAAATACTCATTATAAAGTAATTATTTGGTCTCAAAGAAATAACCTTTTCACTTATTTTATTATTGTTGTTGTTAGTAGTTCAAAATGTCAAATAATGTAAACAAAATTTATATCAGAAATATTATTCGATAATTTTGTGATTAACAATTCTGCTATATCAAAACATTGACCGAATAAGATTTTAAAATTCTAATAAAAATATCAAATTTTTTGCTTTTAAAAATATTATTTATGTATACATCATAAAATATTTAATTTTAAGTAAAATAATTTTACATTTAAGAAGAAAATATATTGCATAATATAATGTATAATAATATATATAATATAATAAATATAATATTATATTACATTATATTATATAAGTTTAATTAAATTTAAACTTCGCGCCAAACGAGCAGTGTATGCTTTACACCATAGCAGTTCATGTTGTGCTCCTGCTCCAAAAACAGTCGAACTTTGCCAGTGTTCATGACGTCATAGATTGCCTCAGGGTAGAGCACAGCTTTTTGAGAGCAGAGTAAACTATACTCCTACACCGAGCAAGATCGCTCTCGGAGCAGATAACCGAATTCGCTATAAGTATATCAGAAACGTCCAGCGTTTTGATTGGCTATGCTCATAGAGAATTTCCAAAAAATTTAATGTTTTGGAAATTCTCTATGAGCATAGCCAATCAAAACGCTGGACGTTTCTGAATATACTCAGAACGGAGGAGGTATACAAGCCCCTTTAGAGTTGCGTATTAATCGGTAACTCGGCGCGTAACAAGGCAAATTACGCAAGCGCCATCTACTTTTTTTGAACGGATAAATCGTGGAACTATAACGCTTAAAATAAAGGTATTTAGTACTTCTACAATTCAGTATTCTAGGGTTTAGTGAAGCTCTTTTCTGTTTCTTACGTAAGTAGTTTTACACTTTTTCTAAAATAAATATTTCCTAACTTTTTATTGACCAAAAGGGCTAATAACAATTTTTGCACTTAATTTGCATGCCCCGTTGAAAAAATAAGAACGAATCTAGTAAAATATTTCAAATAATCTATAACTAAAAAATGTTAAATGTTCAGGAAGTATTTTTTTCATTTTTGTAGATTTCAGTTAAATAATCCTCTAATTTTCATCTTTCTTCAACATTTTTCTTATTTTTTAACAACTCTAATGTTATTATTAACTATTAGTGTCAGTAATTTACAAAATTGTTCCAATGCGACTGTATTTAGTTTTCTAGATTATGCTCACTAGAATTTGAGAAATTTTCACATATTTCTTATTAGGTTAAATTTATACTGAAAATATAATTTTAAAAAAGTAATGGAATTCTTTATTGGCATTTACAATAGCAAATAATTTTTTCAGTGAGCAATTATTTTTTATCTCTTTTACAGTTTTCCTATCAAAATGGGGAAAGCTTTTGGAAATCTTCATTATGTACGAGGAATCGTATTCTATAGATTAAGTTCAATGGAACAAAAAGCCTTCGCAGGAATGCTAAATCCTGGTTTAAAGAACGTGGCTCGTCGATTTCGGGAAAATATTTTTCGCGTTGCACCACGTAAGTATCATCTTTCATCTTTTTGTAAAAGTTGTAATATTTTTTTTAGGAAAATTCGAACTATTTGATTATTTGCATCAAATTGAAAAAATAGTTTTAACTAATTGAACTAAATATTTAAAGTATCAGTAATAAAATCTAATCATTAAATATTAAAAATTAATAACATATTCTATATTTCTATTTCTATGTAATCAATATTTATTTTTATTTACCTTTCTACAATAAGAGTCTAGAAACAAAAATATAAATTTTGTTACTAGTTTTAAACATTAACTATTAATTTACAGCCTTTATGCTTGGCTACTTAGTCTACGATTGGGGTGAAAAAACTTACCATCAAAATCAACGCAAGAATCCCAAGGATTACGAGAATGACACGTAAAAAATGCAGACAATATTAAATAGTTTCGATTAATTAGGAAATTTTCTTTCTTTCTTTCGCTCGTTATCTAATTAAAAAAAATGTCAGCAATTTACGATAAAATAATTAAAAAATCTACAACTACAATAATAGGTAAATTTACAAACTTTTGTTTTTCTTATTAACAGTAAGTAATTTTCTCTTGAAAAGAATATTCATTTTTTTAAACAACCGTTTGAATAAAATATTGTCTCCAAAAAGAGTTGATTGTTTACCTCAATAATTAAATTAACTCGCTCAAATAACACCATTTCATTTACATTGTTTTTCATTTTCAATTTTTCTTCTTTGAAATTAAATATTTAAATTTAATTTTAAATTAAAATTACCATTTATTATTTCAAATTTTACATTTAATAGTTACATTAATTTAATAAGATTACAATTTCCATTTATTTTCAATATTACGCAATTATTAGTTAATTAAACTTAAAATTAAAATTATTAATTACTTATTATTTTCAATTTTCCGTTTATTAATGAAACTTAATTATTATTTATTTATTAATTTATTAATATTAACTAAATTTATTTAAGCAAATTACAGTTTTTTAATTAATATATAAAAAATGGATGTCTGGTGAATGCAAAATATAATACTATAAATTAGATGAAATAATCAGTGTCCAGACAAAAGAAAATAACTTTATTTATAATTCATATGTATGTTGCAATTTATCTCTCTTTCTTTATTGTTTTCGTTGCGTTATATATAGTGTATATAAAGTATTTAAATTCCCTTTAACGCGACCTCCTTACTTTATATGAAAACAACAGGTGTGTTTCTCAAGTAATGCGATGAGAAAAATTCTTCGTACCTTGTGAAAGGTTCATATAAGTATATATATATATATATGTGTGTGTACACGTAGAAGACACGCGTGAACTTTCTGGTTCACTTCGCGAGATTTTTTTTAATAGACTCACTATCATTTCCATATTACAAAATCGCGTTAAATTAAAAAAATTTTATATTTATAATAGTAGGGTAGAGTGGGGTAAAAAAGCCATGGTGTAAAAAAGCCATTTGAGTTTTATTTAAAAACTATTAAGCCGATTTATCAGCTGTTTAGAATATAAATACTATTAGGTAATACGCAACTTTTGAATTTAGTTTGAATGTTGTACCTAGATTAATATTGTTTTTATTGTAATTTTAATTTTTTGTTGCTTTTTTGAAAACATTTTGGTGAACTTTTCAAACATATTACAATCTGATTAAGTGAACGAATAATAAAAGTAAATGTTTGTACATAAAGAGAAAAGTATACCGAAAACGTATACAATGTTAATTTTTGGAAATTGAACTGAATTAACAATTTATTTTTGCTTTTTTTAATAACTGGTCTTGGGTGTAAAAAAGCCAGGGCAAAAAATCCATTGAATATTTTGTGAAATTCACTTGTTTTCTATTTAAACTAACCTTATTATTTTACAAAATTTCTCGTGTTTATTTAATAAAATAAATTAAACACGACGAAAAAGTAGTTCAAAGTGCATTTAAAAAATAAACAATGAATAAACGGTTGCAACGAAATATGTTATCTGTGGTAAAACTTAAAGAGAACTTCTAAAAAAGGTACGAAAAATTGGCAGTGCAAATGGAAAACAGGTAAACTTAATATAATTTTCAATTTTGCTTGCTAAAAACTCTTTCATAATTATTAGAATACTTTTCAAATAAGACTATTTGTCATATAAATAAAGGGAAACTATAAAAATACCTAAATTGATAACATGTTTTGCTAAAATCGTAGGGTGGCTTTTTCACCCCACCAGGTGGTGCAAAAAAGCCACTTACAGTGCTTTCGTAAAACTCTTATAACTTAGTCCTTTCATGAGATAAAAAATATTTCCGTCAAGAATTTTCAAGCTTAATAACTAAACTTTCAATAACAATTGGAAATTTGAGAAAAAAATTTTAAATACAGATTTTACAACATCAAAAGTAAAAATGTGGCTTTTTTACCCCACTCTACCCTATAATTTTCATGTCTATATTTTTATTATTGTTATTCAAAACTAATAAATTAATTAACGTGGGGTTCAAATTAATTTCACGATGTGTGTCAAGGTTTAAAAATTAATTCCTAAAATTAAGATTAATTAGGGAATATTAAATGAGATAATCAAATTCATTTATTTTATTTATTTACAGGCCTCGAATTGTATATGATTATTTCGAATTATTCCGTTTCAAAAAAGGCGATTTTTCCGACTTGAACACTTTTAAAATAGTAGCAAATTTAGCAACGATTTTTACAAAGATAATATAGTTTTACTTGACAACATTTTTATATTTCGTTTGTATTATAATTAAAGAATTCAAATTAAAAGAAATTAGTCTAAATTTTTATTTTAATTAAATATAAATCTAGAAAATAAATAATTGCTTCTTTAACGTAATAGTTGGACATGCCATTTTAGGGGGTCCAGTAGTTGGACGTATAATATTTATTTGCATATAATGTTTGTAATTGTATATTAGTTAATATTGTCAACTATTAAATTTATTAGTAAGTCATTTTATATTAATTCATTTATTATTTAATCTTAATCAGAATGATCATAAGTTTCAGTTAATCAATTTCCCTGACAATTTACTGATATTAAAATTAATTTCCCTGACAAAATTCTTTTTACAGGAAAATATGAATGTTTATGGAAAATGAGTAAAATTTATGATTTTAATTATTTTTTAAAATGACAATTATAACCCTTCCTGAATTCAATTATTTTCTACAATTTCCACCCAGTAAAGAAAAAGTATTGGAAAAGAGCGAATAGTATTGTCGGTGAGTTTCTGCCAATACGGTTTTCACGCGAAAACATATTGGCAGAAACTCACCGCCAATACTATTCGCTCTCTTCCAATACTTTTTTTTTACTGGGCAACTAAACCTTCGTCTTTGAATCAATTAATTTAAATAATTTTCCGAAAGTTCTTCTAAAATTCTGTTATATTTTAAAATTATTTTTGAATTTGATTGATAAATTTTAATTAAAAATTTTTAACATGATTGTTTCCTCTAAAATGTTAAAAATAATTTTAAAATGTTATTTTTTTGTATATATTTGAATTTTTGAAAATATGTAAGGGGCCGTACACATAATACGTCACGCGGCTAGGGGGAGGGAGGGGGTCTGAGAATTGTGACTAAGTGTGACATGGGGGAGGGGGGGGTGAACTCATGTGTTACGTCACAATCTTTTAAATTCAAAGATTATAAGAAATTATATATCTATTATGTACCTGCACTGAGAAAAATAGATATTAAGCCTTATTATCTAGATATTAATGGTCAATATCTGTGACAGTGAACTATGTAAACTTCTTAGATGTTCAAATTTAATATCTAAGATATTGGAAAAAGACTTGTTCAAACATAACCTCACATTTACAGATTATACTTTTTAACATCTGAGATATTAAACCATAACATCTGGATGATATGCATTAGCATCTTTTCTTAATATCTAGTATATTAAGATTTTTAATATCCAGTTTTCTCAGTATGTTTAACATCTATTGGCATATTATTTGTAATATGATAAATAATATATTCTCTTAATTTGAATCAGTTAAAAATCATGGTTTTAACTGACAATCAGTAGTGACTGACTTTTTGCTTCTGAATCAGTTAAAAATAACTGAAAAATTATCCACAAAACACCGAAATTTTTCTAAATATTGTATATTAAAGATTTGCTTGCAAAATTCGAAAAATTTACTTGCAAAGTTTATTTTAAAATTGTGTAAAGATTTAAATTTCTCACTCCAATAAATGTCTATCGTCAAATTTTCTTAAAAAAATAGCTTGAAACTTTCCTGAACATTTGAATTGCATTTTCGACTATACTTTCGTGAAAATTTTCCTGAAAATTTTACTTAAATTTTCAGGAAAGTTTCGCGCTAAACATTTATTGAAGTGGGATATTTAAATCTTTACACAATTTTCACTAAACTTTGCATTTAAATATTTCGAAGCTTGCAAGTAAATCTTTAGTAATAGGAAAGTTTCGGTGCTATGTAGGTATAGTTAAACGTGACTAATTGGATCAATCAAAAACAATTGTATTGAAACATCAGTTATTTTCAACTAATTGTCAGAAAAAAATATTACTATTTGAATTAGTGACTGACTTTTTGCTTCTAAATCAGGTATTTTTAACTGATTCAATAATTTAGAGTGTAAGATATAATATATATTGTCCAATGTATAACATTTACAGTAAAATTTACGTGTGTGACGTGACGTAGGGGGGAGGGGGGGTTCAAGATTTGTGACGAAGTGTGACATAGGGGGAGGGAGGGGTTAAAAATGGTCAAAAATCGCGTGACGTATTATGTGTACGGCCCCTAATTGAGAATATTGAATTTTAAAAAATTAGAAGCTAATTTTCATTAATTTTCATTTTTAAATTTACCTTTAAAGATTTTTTATTCTACAAAAATTGTAACGAAAGACTTAAAATAAATTAATTATTTTCAATTAAATTTTACAAAATTTTAACTATTCAAAAAGATTTGATTATACAGGGTGGCCATTTTTTTGTAAAAAAAAATTCACGGTCATTTCCCGGTCATAAATTATTTTTCCCGGTCATAAATAATAACTCTGAAAATAAATTATTCCATGAAAGATTGAAAGAATTTCCTGATTTTTAGACAAAACTTTGACTTTTTCCTAAAACCTAAAAATATTTTAGTTTACTCTAAAAATAATTTTGAACTTAAATAGATTTTTTGAAATAAATATTTAATTATTATCCATTATTTTTCCATATAGTAGGTATTCAAATTTAAAAAAAATTCAAATTTTAAATCCTTTAAATTTGAATAATTTTTAAGAATTGCTACTGTAACTTATTAACAATTATTTTCAAAATTTCAATTCAATTATATTCTAGAAATAACTAAAATATTTCTAAAATCCACTTGTTTACAAGACAATTTCATGAAATTTTGAATAATTTAAAAATTTTTCAATTAAATATTAGGTACATATTTAAAAACATAACTAATTTGAAAAAATGTGAATAAAAATATTTTTAAAAACTGACTTATTCAGAATTTTTAATTAAAATCTTTTAAAATTCAACTTTTCTAAAACTTAAATTTGAAATTTTTTAAAATTCAATCTATAATAATTATTAATTTAACATTCTAAAATATAGAAAAATTTGCTTATCAATAATTGC